GCAATTTGACTAGCAATCTACGGTGGCAGACCCTATCAAATGCTTTTGATAAGTCAACGAAGACAATGTCTACGGATTTCCATTGTTCAGAGCGGATTGCCAGTCAAACAAGCTATCTAATAAATTGGATACCGTGGAGGCCCCACTCAAGAAACCATGCTGTTCTTTTGGAATCATGTTGAACTTCTCAAGCCAGCCCAGTATCTTGTCTCTGATTAGTCTCTCCATTAGCTTACTTGGAGCAGGCATAATGCTTATCGGTCGAAAATCAGAGATGTACGGAACGGACGCGCTTAAATCATTGATGACTTCGAGGTGAACTGCTCGAGTTGTCATGCACGTAGCGAGGAAGATCTACCGTTTCACTTTGGTTTCGTCATCATTGGTCACCATAAAGGTACCAGCGAGGTCGATGCCGATATGTGAGAAGGGTCGTGTTGGCTGGGTTCTTGAGGATGGTAATGGTGGCGAAACAGGATAGTAGAAGGGACGTCCGTTCCATCGCTTACAGGTAATACAACGTCTAAGATACTTTCTTATGACTTGTCGTCCTTTTGGTATCCAGTAAAGGAGGCGTAGATTGGCAAGAGTACCGCTTACTCCTTGATGACCACAACGTTGATGAGCCTCATGAATGAATAACTGAGTAACATGTTCGTTCGGGAGGAGTAAAATGGGCTCTAAAACGTTTCGCGGTGCTTGAATTTTAAGTTCTTTCAATACAAAATTGGTGAGTCTCATGCCAATGAGAAGCGCAAGTAATTCTAAGCGTGGAATAGTCAAGGTTTCCGTGTTGAGTGGTGCGAGTCGTTGTCTAGCCATTCAAAGAGAGCTGGTTACGGACCCCAATGTTTCTTCCGAGCGGACATAGATTGCTACGGGGAGTAACGGTATCAGTAATCCGAAGGGATCAAAGGTCGAATGTATGGCTTGTAATATTCGGCGTTTTGTAGGGTTTATAGACGATTCAGCTTGCATGAAATGGAATGTGTCTGTGGAAGAGACAAGAAGCTAAATTCAGTATTACCGCCACGGTACCGTAACCCAAAGCGGCGCCCAGTTGATTGTAACTCCGCAGTGGACGTACGTATAACACCGAACTTTACGCCGGTACCACTACGGGAATTGTGCGGAAATGCTTCATAGACTGCAGCGTTCGAGGGTGGACGGGAATTTAGTGCACATTTCGCTTATGAATTCTTTTTCTCGATATAGAGGCTCTGCATATGCGCAGCGTAAGGGAATTCATACCGCTCGCAACGCTTCTTTATGTATTTGCATTTGGAGAATAAATACATGAATATAAAGAGCCGAATTACTTTACTTACTACAGACCAGAGAATTATTTTACACTGCAAGTGCTTTCACAACTTATTCCATGTAATTTCACTGCATGCATAGTGTTGCAGAAGCGAAAGACGCCGCTATAACAAGTAGGCGTAAAAAGTAGTGATCTGATCACTGACGTGACATTTTTCGTG